GGTCGACCGACGAAAAATTTTAACAAGTCGCTTTGCGCGGATGCAAATTTGCTCAACTGATGATCGATTGGCGAAAAGTTGAACTCGGTCCACCCGGTTTTAGTCGTCCTTGTACGATCTATCATAAATAAAACGCTATAAAACGTCGTTACAGCGCTGATATGCAATTACGGTTGAAAATAATTTTGTTCGTGGGTGAGGAGATATAGTCTAATTTCCACGTATCCGTACGGACCTTCTCGTAGGACCGTTTTAACTTTCTGGGGGCTCGATATCAAAGGCAAAGGAGAAGAAATTAACGAGATGTATATTGTAATTTTGAAGTAAATTATAACGCGAGTAAATACTGAAAAAATTGGTTGCTTGCAGGTAAAGCATGTGTACAGGATCGAACGACGACTCGATGAAATTTCTATTATTTAGTGAGCGTCTAGCGTAGAGTTTATACCAACTTGCTCTCTCGGTTACCAATCCTCGTGTATTTCGTTGCCGCGCAAATGCATCGTCTCGTTGCTGTCAATAATAATCATCGTACGCGGTGTTCTGAAAAACTGAAACTGGTCTTTGCTTTTCGTTATTCTGCAAACGGCGAATGACAGGATTTTTCTTGAGTAAATCGATAAATTTAGTAAATTTCTCGATATATCGTTTTTTAAAATACAGCTTTTAACTTTAATATGCCTCTAGAACCGTTGCCCGTGCGGGATCTTCGCACTGTCATCGACGAAAAAACCGGCATGGTCGAAGTTTCTTGGCATCCTGAAAATTCAAGTACTCAGGATAGCTATAAGCTTCAGTATCACGAAGTGGAAACTACGATCGGCGGCGATAGCAATATGTTAACAACTGATAAGACCAAGGCAAGTATTTTATCTTACTTTTATTTTAACAAATGTACGATTCGACGAATTAAGATTTCATTTATCGCATAGGAATGTACGTTTCCATAATTTACAATGTGACTCGTATCTTAAATATTTTGCCATGGTATTGGAAGAATGTGTTAAAGGAAACAAACGTATCTATCGAGTCAGGATTGCGTTTCGTTGTATGCATAGTGATGGATTCCTATGAAAAGGCTGTCGTCATTCGTTATCGACAGAGAAGCGTAACGGCATTAACGGTTTCGTGTTTATCGAAAACCGTTGGAAATTTGAAAAATATCGGCATTTTGGTGAATCGATGGAAAAGCTCGATGATGTCGATGATTCGTTTTAACGATAATCAATGTTTCGAGCAACTTTCTCTTTTGCATGTTACCGCTTTCGAGTTTCGAGATATTTGGAAAAATATGTCTGTAATTTTATCGCGCGGCCGTAGCAGCGTACGCGTCGGTATCGATTGTCAGCCGCCTAAGACCGCGATTATAAAGAAGCGACGGCTGACCGACAGAAAACAAAATCAAACCTATAGATTAAGAAGCGACGAGCGGCGGTTACGTGTATAAGAAAAAGTAGTGGAAAATCATATACCCGACGACATATCTCATAAATCATCGAGATCCAAGATGATTGGATCTTTTCAAACGACTAGCGAAAATATTCGCTATATACGCGGTACGATGTATCGTACTGTATAATTGTTTGCATGTACGTCGTGTTTTCTTTCGTGTATGTAAAGACTCGAAAGGCATTTGAAGTTTTAAAAGAACCGTAATTTCAAGCTGATACCGAATTACGTACGTACATATACGTAGATACGTAACGAAGTATTAAATGTCTTTGTTTTATAAAATAGGAGGGAATTTGAAATTCAAATTGCTTTAATTCTTCGTTCAGATTTCCAATCTTTCAACGATATTTTCGTATTGAAGGATAAAACCGTGGTAACTAAAACTTAATCGATTAAAAGACGGCCCATTTAACGCGTTAATAGTCGATTGGTAATTTTGTACATTTGTTTCAACTAATATTTACGTAAGATCGTATAATTATTTATTTTCAGGTTACGTTAGAAGCTTTATTACCCGGCAGAAACTATTCGATAATCGTTCAGGCGATTAGTAATAAAATCGAATCGAACGAGACTGTGTTATATCAAGTCACACGACCCTCGAGTCCCATAATCGAGGATTTGAGGCCAACCGAGATGGGATTGAATATCTCGTGGAAGAGCGACGTTAATTCGAGACAGGAGAAATTTGAAGTAACGCACAATAGGAACGATACCGGGGAGAGCGCGACTACGTTAACCACGGAATCTCATATAGTCCTGGAAGACCTTTATCCTGGTGCAGCGTACGAAGTTAAAGTTTTCGCCATTAGCCACGGTCTAAGGAGCGAACCACACGATTATCTTCAAGCCGTCTGTAAATATGATATCACGTGAAAATTCTCAAACTCAAAATCGTTAAATTTAAATGACTAAAATTATAAAATCGGGTTACGCAACAAGTATTACGAGACACTAATGAGCAAGATTTTAAGATTTTACGATTCGTTGCATTTTCTTCGATGTTCCAACAAATTTTAACGCGTTTAACGTTTCACGCTGCAAGAATATGGGATAAAAAAATATAAATCGCGTTTAAAATTATAAACGTCACCTTTATAGCGTTTTCCAAGGTTATCGCAAGACGAAATAAATATCTGTACAACATTTGTTTCAAATATTTTTCCGTATCGTTCGTACTCTTCGACATATTTACACGTTTCTAGATAAAACCGACACACGGTATATGAATATTTACATTTCTTAAATTACTTAACGATTACTCATGAAAACTATTTTTTACGTATTGGAACGATTAATATTGTTCTAGTAAAGCTTCTACGATATCCCGCGAAATTTAACATCGAAAGACGAACAAGCTTATTACGTAACCTGATGTATGCGTTAAGCGTAAAAATAAGTTAAACTTTTGTTTTATTCGTAGAAAGAAGTTGTACAGAGATTCGTCCCGTTTACCGATTATTCCTTATTGATGCATCGAGCATTCCATCTTTAACGCTACGACGATCGGCTAGCTTCGACTTTTATTCAAAAAATCGACAGGATATAGTTTTTGTTACAGTGTTTTGTTACGATTAGAAAAAACGTCCAGTCTCTTATATCCTCGTGCGATAAATCGCGAATCGTTCTTACGTTCGTGTATAAAGAGATTATACGGATAGATTATTATATATATAGATTTATATAAGTATAAGATACTGTACAGTGATGATCAAAAGTATCGTCACACGGAATAGTTTATCGCGTAAAGCTCTGACAGTTCGTAAAACACACGATTCTTTATGTAAGCTTTTATTTTTGTCAAATATACAACGTAGGGGATAAAAAAAGGTAGACGTCGGTTTTGCTTTTTAAAGAAGCATGTTTCGTAGAAACTTCGTGGGTATTTCTTATAGGAAACTTAAATTTCTGTTTTTTTCTCTCTATCGGTTGCAAAACTGCTCTGGAATTGATTCTTTCGAGAATTTTACGTTTTGGCAGAAATAGTGTGTTATAATGATATTTTGCAATAACGTTATATACGTTTGCAAATACGCGACCGTAAGTTTTTCAAATTTGCAGAAGATTTTGTAGGAAAATCCAGTATCTGCCAATATTTTTTTTCATCACTGTACATCTCTAAAAGATGTACAATACTGGAGTTTTACTTTTCTCTTGTGGTAATTGATACGATTGTTCGATCGCAGTGCCTCACCCACCAAAGAATTTAAGCATCGAGAAGGTAACGAGCAACACGGTTGTCGTGCATTGGGAGGCACCGACCGATTCGTTGTATTCCGAATTTTCGATACGCTATCGAACGGAGGATGATCCAAGATGGGTAAAATTGCCCAGCGTTCGAGAAACGGAAGCGGAAGTGGCGGATATGACCCCAGGAGAGAAATACACGATTCAAGTGAATACCGTGAGTTACGGAGTCGAAAGTCTCTATCCCCTTCAAGTGAATCATACAGTTCGTAAGTAAATAATCAAATTTTAAATAATAGTAGATAATAGTAAATAATTGAATATCGTTTTTGAATTGGTTCAACGATTTTATCTAATATTTTGTATTTTCTCTTTTCTCTTGCGAGTCGATCAAATTTAAATAGTTGCGATTACTCTGAGTAAATTTACATAATCCACCAGATTATCGTGCTATCATCGAACTCTACAATTTTTAAACTATGAAGATTCGGATAAACTAATAAACTACGCGTTTCAAAACGTTATTCGTGTCATTAATCTTTTTTGCAAACAAAGTAAGAAGCTATACGTAAATAGAAATAACTGTCCCTCGTGAAAAATGAGATCACTTTTTCGTCATCAAGTTTCTTTAAAAGCTCAAATACTCGTATGCTTTGACTTGCTATTTTTTTTTTTTTTTTTTATAATTTTGATAATTAAAGTTATGACAATCGAAATTTTTGAAGCGTCAAAGTGAATAAGAAAAACACAAATACGGGGATAGAATCAGGCGGCAGGACAGTTTTAATAATACGTCTGAGTTTGATTGCAGCGTATTCAATTTTGTCTGTATGAAAAAGAAATGTATACACACATATATGATTAATTATTACGTATATATTAGAAATTCATATTTTTATAACTACGACTAATGGAATGGAACGTTTTTGCACGTTTTATACGTTCTCGCCGATAATTATTTAAGCTCGAAAAATTGAGAAACTGTTCGAAGAGATTGAGATTCAAATATCCATCGAACAAAGAATCGTCGTACGTGTTAATAGAAGCAAGGAACCTTTACTTAGTTTTGTTTAGTAAAAGCAAGATAAGGTATAAAAGGTGTGTCTTATGTATATCCTGTACGTTTTTGCACACTTAACTTTTTTAAATACGCATATACATCCATGATCTATTTACAGTAGCTCGCAAAAGTATAGAACTTTTTTATAAATACATGTATTATATGCGTTGTACGAAACTTTCTGGAATTTCGTCGATAGTATAACGAGACACGACTATCGCGATTGCAGTGACAAAATTTGAAACAGATCCGAAAATATCTACGAAGGTAAGTAATTTATCGCCGACGTATACCTGGTAAAAAGTTGGTACGCTGGAAAAAGCTTTGACGTATATTTTCAAATTCTATTCAAATTTAAGCAATACGTGATAGTCGTGTTTCACTACAGCGTTTATAACGCAACAATTTAACATCAAATGTTTTCGATACGTTGAAATACTTTGACGAGCCGCTACATCGTATTTCTTTTCTGTAATCTGCAAATGCTTCGATCGGAACTTCATTTTCTTGTTTCGCCGATAATCGAAAAGCTATATCCTGTTTCAGGACCCAATCCGGTACTTAACATCACTCCGATCATCGATTCAACGAACGTGACTCTAGAATGGCCAAGACCAGAGGGTAGAATCGAAACTTACGTGATAAGATGGTGGCCAGTCGAAAACCCTCAAGATATACGTAGCAAAAACGTCACAGAGAGTAACGACGTGACTAGCGTTCTTTTCGAAGAAAATTCAGTGCAAAGGGTGCTTGTTGGCGATCTGATGCCAGGTGTTCAATATTCCTTTGTAATCTACACGGTCTCTTATAATCTATTCAGCGATATCACCAATCTAACAACTAGAACAAGTAAGTCTTATTATTCGTTCGTTCTCACAGCAATCCTCGTGTAATTCAACTAATGGCTACGTTTCTCTTTTTCGATGGATTGTCCAACTATTTCACCGAAATAGTCAAAATTTGCTTTATCACGAGTACTAACCCTATACTTGAATCAATACCATTCATGGTTATTTCGTTACTAATCGCGTGTGTGCCGCGTGATACAGTGACACCTTTAAATGCATTTGTCACACGTGCAAACATCTTAGAAGCAATCTTATTCCGTAAAATAATTTATGATCGTTGACATAACGTGTACATATAATCTCGAGTAATTGGAAAATGCATCGTTTTATCTCTGTTTAACCGAGATCCTACGATATGTAACACGTTTAAATTACTTTATTTAAACATTGAAGCATTCGATTATTTGCGTCAAAGCATTTAACTAAAAACCTATCGTATACAATAATCTAATTTTACAACGTTTTCAACATAGATATCGCGAATACAGTAAGAAATTCTGATTGCACGTACAAGAGAAAGATAGAGAGATCTTGTATCTATTGTAGTTAACTTGGTTCTAGCCGTTCGATTTGTCTTTCGTCGAGTATACCAATCGTATATATTTCAAATACAAGAAGGAAATTTAAAATGTTAGGAAATTGTATTAAACGTAAAAGAGTAAATCTGTTCGAAGTCGATCCAAACAAAGAGAAACGTGATTAAAGCTGCGATGAAAAATGTTGCCTGTAAAAGGAAACAGAAAAAAGAAAAGAAAAGAAAAGAAAAGAAAAAAACACGAGTCTGTCGAATTCAGTGCCGCTGATCCAATCGGAAGTCGTTGTGGTGGTCGATCAGGATCAGCCCGACTCGTTAACATTGAGATACACACGGACCCCCGTTCAGTCATCCAAGTTCGATTTGTATCGATTTCGGATTAGCGACGAGAACAACACGACGAAGGAGCGGATGGTCGACGACATCGACACCAAGGTGACGTTCACGGGCCTTATACCTGGTAAACTGTACAACGTCACAGTTTGGACTGTCAGCGATAACGTGGAGAGCAGACCTTTGCTTAGGCAGGATCGACTTTGTGAGTATTTCGCCTGTGGAGAAGCATCTTCGTGTATTTCACTGTGATTAGAGTTTTTCGATGCACGAGCGTAAAAGTAAATTCAGGCAGTAGCGAATACGCGAAATTTAAAAATTGGCAAAGTTAATTGCGATTCGAAAAGCGACGAGGGTCGACAAGTTTAGCCGTAGTGGCAAATGTAATTACGAAATTAGAAAGAAAAGAAAAAAAGAAAAGAAAAGAAAACGACGATTCGCTGATTTTTATTCCAAAATGACCAAAGTCGAACAATTTCGTTTCATTTCGAATAAAATTGTAAAATTAAACATTTTTTTTTATGAAAATTAACATTTGTGATTATATTTTGTATTGTAGGAAGAAGAGGTTTAGTTTTAATTTGCCGATAGGTACGTTTAAACGCTAAGGTTTGAATCAATTTACCCAGTTAACACAGGTTAATTGCGTGAAGCCTCTACTTATCGTTTCGTAACGGAACTCGATATTGAGATACTATATTCGTTTGAAATGTTCATTACGCAGCTTGTGTTAATAATGCTTATTGAAGCGTACATCGAGACAGTACGAGCTCCAATGAAACTCCACTTAAGAACGTGGTGCTTTTCTCTTCGTCCAAGTTCAACTTGCTCATAATGCTCGAAATCATACGTGAATGTAATTAACCAACGAGAGTAAAGAGATAACGATTTAAGCGAACTTTTTCCAAATAACTGTGTTATCTTCCTCGTAAGTCGTTTCAAGCGCATTTTAGTCTGAAAATGTGTTGGCAAAGTAGTATTTCACAATTGTATTCTTCCATGGTTAAATCGTTGCGATGCAAAGATAAGAACCTGGAGAATTAATGGTAATTGTTCGAGAATAATCTCCTTTCCTTATGAAAGACGACAAAATCAAAGAGGCGAATTGTTATTAAGAAATCGAGATTGACCGCGTTTTAAAGATGTACGACGCGTAAACGTACGATATTTCTTTGATCCTGGATAGCTCACGATTCGTTGTTCGACAAATTTATGGTTTAAAAAACACCGTACGGAGTAAAACGATGGACGAAACGCAACGTATCGTTTGGAATCGCAACGTATGCGATGGAAAAATGAATAGAAAGTAAGAATTTTGAAAAAAGCCAGCTTCGACTCCTGTTATCTTAGAAAATCTATCGATAGTTGTTGTAGCCTTGAAATTAGCCAACTCGTCATAGAGTTAATAGTAAGCGAGTTAGCGAGAGATTTCAATCGTTTACCCAATGGCGTCTATCGCGATATCGTACGAAGTAAAAGAAAAGTTTCGAGATTATCGTCTATTTGTCGTCCGTTTATTTTAGAGAATTGAAGAAAACAATTACCATTTGTAGGGTAACAATTGTAGGGTAAAGTACCGATTTTACTTGTAGTTTACGTCTCTCCGAAACACTTTAAATTCAATTTGACGCGTAATATAAATAGGTGAATTATGGCTGGCAAACATGGTTGCTTTCGTTGGTAACTTGGCGAAATCTATTTTCAGATCCCGAACCAGTCACGTCCATTCAAGCAATAGAGGTGAACGATACAAGAATTACGTTAACCTGGGACATTCCGCGTGGACAGTACGACGCGTTCGAAGTTCAATATATAAACACAGAGGAAAATTATATTCAAAATGTCACGAGCACGAATTTAATAACCATCTCGGATTTGAAGCCGCACAGAAATTATACTTTTACGTTGGTAGTACGTTCCGGTACGGCGTCCTCTTATTTGAGAATATCGAATCCCGTGAGCGCAAGTTTTACAACAAGCGAATCTTATCCTGGCAAGGTGGAAAAGTTTCATCCTACGGATATTCAGCCTAGCGATATTAGTTTCGAGTGGTCGTTACCTAGTCAGGAACAAAATGGAATCATTAGAAAATATACGATCACGTATGGGCTGGAGGTAAGCGTATCTTTGTTATCGATATAAATTTTTTAATGGCGCACTCTAGGTTCGATACTACATGTGTTTTACGTTAACAAACGGTAAATAGATCGCGAACAAACGGGACAGATTATAACCGCGAAACAGCGAAAGATAGAGAAGAACTTTATCAGGCAAAATCGAATGGTTTCTTCGAAGGATGTAGCGGTTCGAAGACTTTCGGATTGTTTCTATCTCTTTTTCGAATGAAATTATAAATCCATTTATCCTACTATTAATAACACGTCTATTATTCTCTATATATGAAAGTATTCCGACACGTTGGCGGAAAATTAATTAATTTAAAACATATCTCAAGTAGACTAGCGCGCTGTGTTACGTTTGTTAGCTTTTTACCTTCCATTGCTTCGGAATTACAGTTCGGCCCGTGTGAATAATGCGCGATCGGATTAAATTAACGCGTTGTTTCTTATTACTGTCATTAGGGTTCGGCTCATACTCAAATGCAGGACTTCAAGCCAAACGAGTATCGCGGCATCGTCAAGTCTCTCATACCTGGAAAAACGTACATCTTTCGGATTCAAGCGCAAACGAGGATCGGCTTTGGTCCCGAGGCGGTGTGGAAGCAGAAAATGCCGATTCTGGCACCGCCGAAACCGTCCACCCAAGTAGTGCCAACCGAAGTGTGCAGGAGCAGTACCACGATACAAATACGGTTCCGGAAGAACTATTTCAGCGAGCAGAATGGTGCGGTTACGTCTTACACGATCATCGTGGCCGAAGATGACAGCAAGAACGCCTCTGGTTTGGAAATGCCCAGCTGGAGGGATGTCCAGGCGTACAGCATCTGGCCACCGTATCAGGTAAGAATATTCCAGTAATTTCTCCAATATTTAAGAATATCTCTATTCCAAATATAGATATTATTCCGTTAGGTTTCGAGCTTGAATTCGATAGATTCTTTGAAATAATCGAAAGTTTATGTAATTCCACGAGATTACGTTCGAGTGGTTAGATTAAAAAATCAAATCGACGTTCGGAAGTCTATAATAATTTTTGTGGAAACGTTATCGAATGCCGTATTAAACGCGTATACGTGCCGTAGTATCGTTGTCGTTAACTTACGTATTTACCTTACTCCCGTCAAACGTACAGATTGCTTCGATCCGTAATTAACTAGAAATACTTTTAATCGCTTTTCCTATGATTCTTCTACGTTAAACGAAGCAATTGGAAAACGGTAAAGAGGAAAATAACAAATGGAAGCGATAGGAACATCGTATCATTTTTTAACGCGGTTCTTCGATCCAAGTACCGCGCGAACAAATATCAAGGTAATAGAAGGAAATCCGAATGACATCGAGAAGACACATACTCGTCGGTTACGTCAAGCTTTTTCATTGCAAATCGAGCGACGAGATGCGATGCGTCATCGACATGGCGAATGATATTGCAATCGAGATGTAAAATAATTAATGCAACGCGTTACAACTCGTTGGCTTGCAAGATCACGAACAAACAAGTAGACTCGAGACCACGCATAAACAATTAACGTTTCTGCGATCGTTGCATTATGCGTTGTACGTATATGCGTCGTATGTGCGTCTTGGCGTGCAACAGTCGATGGGCGAGCGTGCGTGTTTCTAGTTGTCGTTACAGAGACGAGTTAACGAGGCCGAAACAAAATATTCGAACGTTGTAATGGTGAAACGCGTAGAAATGAAACAGGTAGCACCTTTGTGCTACGTAGAAATCAGGGAAATACAATCGTAAGAAATACAGAATTGTAAGAAGTATCGCGCGAATTGACTCGACGAGGAAATCGTTTTATTTGACGGTTGAGTTCTACCGATAGTGATCGTCGTATAATCGTTGCAAATAAGACGAGAAACGTGGTTGTTAATAACAAGTCTGATTTCGTTCGTAGAAGTTTCTCGGATTAAACGTTTCCGCGTGAAAAAAGATTTCAAGTAAAAATACAACTTTTTTCTTTGACACGATATACATCCCATATTACGTATAGTTAAGTTTTGCTTGCTATGGAGTCGAAGCATTTTTCTTTCGGTTTATGCGTTTGTCGAACGTGTCCTTTTTCTTTTCGATGGAATACGGATAAATGAACGTTGACGTACGATTACTCCAGTTATACTATGGATGTTCTAAAAAATTTGATCGCGAACACAAGAAAAATAGTTACGCAGGTAATGATCGTTCTTTTACTGTCAGCCGTTACATAGGGCATATAATTATATCGTTATACGGTACACATGGTGGACAGGTGGAAAATCGTTTCCCGCGTAAGGCGAATAATACGAAAGCACCGAAATCGATATTTTTTCCAAGGTTGCTCTTTCCGGAACTTTCAAAGTTATCCGTGTTCGGATACGTAAAATAACACGATGTCGAAACGATCTTCAACTTGGAAAATTAAAGTTTTACGCGAAACCTATATCTAGTAGCTCTAGGGAGCCTGTGAACGTAAATAAATGTAAATAATTACTTTACAGATAGTAATCGTCTTGATCATTTTCGATATCGACGAACCGTTTACGATTAATTGCTGAACTTTGTTTCGGAGCACCGCTCCTCTTTAAACGTCTTTTTCTCCATTTTTTTTCTTTTTTGCAGTTTACTATAGAAGACTTGATTTTAGTCTATCATAGAAGATAGACCGTTAATATAATTCGTAAATCAGAATCATAAAAAACGTGATGGAATTAGCAAGACGTTTATGCGATTACGATGCGTGTTTGATTCGCAGGTGATGGAACCTTACTATCCTTTCAAAAACGGCTCCGTGGAGGATTTCACGATCGGTAGCGAGAATTGCGACAACAAGATTGGATACTGTAACGGGCCATTGAAGTCTGGATCCACGTACAGAGTAAAAGTTCGAGCGTTCACCGCGCCGGACAAATTCACGGACACCAGTTACAGTTTTCCAATTCAAACAGGTGAGAATGCGCTGTGTTCGTGCGAAGGCGTGACTCGCCGATGTTAGGAAATTCTTCTAATTTACGGAACGACAACGCGACAAAGACATAGTTTTTATGCTTCGCAAGCATTCCGGATACGTCATTTTGCCTGCTTCGTTAAGAATGTATTTTTCTTTTACTTTGTCTCGCGTACAGTCTCGTTTCAAATTCGACGTCTAGATTAAAAACCCTCTCCATCGTAGTCTGCTTGTTATGACATAGCTATATAGGAAGCTTGCTAAATTCATGCCTCGTTATTTCATGCGCATGTCTGCTCAAGGATTGCTGCTGGCAGGTAAAGTAATAGAAATAAACGAATAATTAATTATAAATTTACGATCCATTACGATTCTAAATTAACAATCTAGATCAATAAGACGCAGTTCCTTCATTACCTATTGATTTCTGTTAATTCACACGCGTCCTTCGACGTTTCTAAATCTCTTTAGAATGGTCAACGTATTTAATATTTCGATTACGAAAACGTAGAAACAACGGTATTATATTTTCCGTAGTACGCGATTCAAATTCCGCACGATCAAAAACCAAACGTAGAACGTGCACTTATAAAAACTTATACACGGCGGATAATCGTGATATTTTATTCGAAACAGATAAGGACAATACGGCTATCATAGTTGGTGTCACGGTTCCAATAGTACTCTTATTGACCTTATTGGGCATCGGACTGCTGGTGAGGCGAAGAAGAAGTCAAGGACGTAAAACGACTGAAACGAGGACCACCGACAACTTGTCTTTGCCAGATAGCGTGATCGACACTAGGCAAGTAGGATCGCAAGTTTTAGGTATTTCGATGAAATCGGTCGTCGGTTATGAGCAAAGATTCGTTCTAAATCTCTATATTTTCTATATGCCAACTATAGAGGGATAACGTCCTGTCAAGCTTAATATAAATTGACCTATCATTTGTACCGTACCGCGCAATAACGATTGATTTCTCGATTTAATTTTACGAATAATTAAAGAAAGAAGAAAGGCAGGAAACTTAATTCTGTAATCGAGCAGTTGCGGTCTACGAAACTCGGGACGATCCTCTACATTTTACGAAAACTATAATATTTATCCGGACTACCGAGACCCGTTTGTTCGAGTGTTTCGTAAGATCTCGATCGGAGAAGAAAAAGAAGATCGAGTTAATTTGAAGTCGTCCAAAGAGTCTTTCGTGTTCGATTTATGGAATTTATTTGTTAAATTGTCAAGCGAAAGTAACGTGAATCGATCACGAGCGATAATTAAATCTCTTCCTTACAGTCGGCCAATTAAGATAGAAGATTTTTCGGAACATTATCGCACGATGTCGGCGGATTCCGACTTCCGTTTTTCGGAAGAATTCGAAGAACTGAAGCACGTCGGAAGGGACCAACCGTGCACAGCTGCAGATTTACCGTGCAACAGGCCAAAGAATCGTTTCACAAATATTTTACCTTACGATCACAGCAGATTTAAGCTGCAACCTGTGGACGACGAAGAGGGTTCTGATTATATCAACGCCAATTACGTTCCCGTAAGTTTGAACTTCTCCGTCGCATTTGGAATTTTGAAATTTAAAGGATTTACGCGGTTGGGAAGATTATCGATGAAAATCGTGTTTAAAAACACGATGGCTTATAAATAGCTACATCGATACTTTCGACGTTACGACTGGAGTCAACAACGAGTCAGGATCTAGCGGATAAAACGAAAGTGGCGAAACATCGCACCAACGCAACGAAAACAAAGAACGAACGATACGTTGACTCTCGGTATATTACGGCTCATTTTTCAACGACGAGTTAACTCGTCGTGCCCGACCTAATGATTCATCGATATCTTCGTTGCTTGCTTATCTTGTATTTTAATATTACAAATGGATAGAGTGTCGCTTATAGATTAGTCCGCGTTACTCTTTGAGAAATCGATAAAGTTGAGTGAAAATAAAATTTGAAGTAATAGGTATATTTTATGCACCAGGGTCACAATTCTCCAAGAGAATTCATCGTCACACAAGGACCTTTACACTCGACTCGCGACGATTTCTGGAGAATGGTGTGGGAAAGTAACAGCAGAGCGATCGTAATGTTAACAAGATGTATCGAAAAGGGCAGAGAAAAATGTGATCACTATTGGCCTATGGATACCCATCCCGTTTATTACGGAGACATTTGCGTCACGATATTAAACGAAACGCATTATCCCGATTGGAGTATCACGGAATTCATGTTGTGCAGAGTAAGGAAACATCTGTTATTCCTATAAAATTCTTTCTATATCATATCGTGTATGAAAATAGAAAAGAAAAAATAATAGAACCTGTTTAGTATCTTCGACTCTTCGTACTTGCTTCGTACGTGCTTCGTTCTTACGAAAGCACGTGAAGTTACGTGTTTCTAAATTTCGCGATATTACCGATTCCTATCTAGACTAAAAATAAAAAGGCTATCCAAGACCGTATTGTCGTTCTACATTTCTCAAAGTTTATGTTTTCGCAACGATATATAATTCGTAAAACGAAAGACTCGTTAAAATAATACGTATGTGCATATAGGCGATTCCTTATGAAATAAAATTTGTTAAAAGTAAAATATTTGTTAAAAAGTGATAGTCCGACTACGGAAAACTAAAAAAAATAAGAAAGACAAGACGTGCGTGTTTCATCGAGGTACGCGTCCGTATACTTTTTAAGCGACTGATATAGCTACCGAATCTACGGACGAGTAACGTTAAAACACGTACATCTTGTTTCCTTTATCTTTCTAACTTTGCATAGTCGGTTATTATTTTTGTCAAATATCTATTTCGTTCGCTGCTTTTTAGAAAAATAATGCTTTTCGATACTGTGGAATACCTATAGAGAAAAAGAGGGAAAAGGGAAGGAGGAAAAGAAAAATAGGTAAACGTTTCTTCGATAGGGAGACGTGAAGAGGGTCATTCAGCACTTCCATTTCACAACGTGGCCAGACTTCGGTGTTCCAAGTCCGCCTCAAACGTTAGCCAGATTCGTTCGGGCGTTCAGAGAGAGAGTTAGGCCAGATCAAAGGCCTATCGTCGTCCATTGCAGCGCAGGGGTTGGTCGCAGCGGTACGTTCATCACCTTGGACAGAATACTTCAACAGATTTTGGTATCGAAGTACGTCGACATCTTTGGAATAGTCTGGGCAATGAGAAAGGAGCGTGTTTGGATGGTCCAAACGGAACAACAGTACATTTGTATACATCAGTGTCTTCTGGCAGTGCTGGAAGGCCAAGATATGACAGGGCCACCACGGGAGATTCACGACAACCAAGGTTTCGAAGGTGAGTTTCCATTTCTCAGTTCCACGATTTGGTAATTTTAGCGAATTCGAGGTGTGTTCGTTATATTTTATACGTTAATAGAAACGATGCTCGAAGATCCGCGAAATGAAGAAGAGTTGCTTCTTACAATGGAAATTTAAGTTAACGATGTTCGAATCAGGGAAAAATGCGAGAACGTCGATGATAAAAGTTTGCTCGACTTATTTTCTAAATATAATTCACCTTTGTAAATGCTATTATTCGCTTTATGAATACATTTTCATATATATAATGAATAAAAGTAAGAGATTTTTTAATATATGTACATGGTATATAAAAACTCGGGCATATTTTATCTTAAAGTATCGGAAGTAAATGTGCAGGAGAGAAATTCATTGAAACGTAATTTTGGATATTTATTACTTTATTTTGTTGAACGACCGATGCATTTTTCTCTTTTGCGTGAGTTAAATCTTTACAAACAGAGAACGGTAGTGCACGAGTGATTCGCAATGGACGAAACATCCGCCAAAGTGCGAGATATGCGCTTTGGAGGAGAAAGTGAATCCATCATTTTAAAATTTCCATCGTAATTCTTCGTCTCTTGATCTCGGTAATTTACGAACTCGAGTTTTCATCGCTTAATTATTTTTAAATGTGTTCGCTGCCGCTCGTGAGTACGTGGACGCTACTTAAACGGTCCATTTCTACTAAGATAGATAGTCTACGAATGTCACTAAAGTATATGATTTAATGGCGTGCAAGTAAATTACGAAGCGCCTTTCCGTTCAATATGTAAATTTCAACTTGCGTTTAAAGAAAATATTCGTTGTATCACGTAGGCCCTTTAATTTGAAACAGACTTCTCTATCTTGTTCTACCAGCTAAGGATAACGAACCGCTTAAATGAGAGAACTGCGTAACAGCGATGTGTAATTAGAGAAGTTACGTTACAGATACCGGTTTTTTAATTAACGTTACCCTGTCGTAATACTCTATGACAGCTTTAATAAACGATAATATCGTTTCGGGCCTCTTCGTTCGTAATTCTATAATTAAATTGCATTTTAGCAAATACAGGCGAGCGTTGGCAAACTTTCGAGCGGCAGCTCGAATCAGCGTATAAATAGTATTTTGGTAACAAGCAAGATATAAAAAGAAGAGAATCATTAACGATTCGGGTGTAAATCGTAAGAGGCTTGGTGGTGGCGACGGTGACGGTGTAGCAATGGTTTTGACTTTTACGGTTTCTTTAACGTCAGAGAACGAAACGAAAAGAAAAGATACATTCGGTTTTGTGTCACGCGCAAAAGTGTTTGTTGCTTTTGGTAAATCGTATCACATCCGTACGTAGTGAATCACTTTCCTTCTCCAACCTCGTAATCCCTTTGAATCCAGGCAAGAATCGAAGCTCCGTTGAAAACACAAAGAGTTCTGCTGAGGATGAAAAGGAAAGGTGACCCTCGAACTGCGATTCCGGCGTCGATGGTAATTTCGATCCTCGCTTATTTCATTTTCGACCTGTTTTCTATTTCTCTGTTGTACAGCGTGTTGCATGCGACGACTAGTCTTACCCATGCACGTGGCATGAAAGCTAATCGATAGAAAGTGGCACGTACGTTTTGAAGGTACAGACAACAACCACGTTGATCGATATACGATCCATTTCAAGAGTAAACGTCATAGACTAGTTCCGCTATCCTTTTGATTTCTAATAATCGCGAGTTTAAGTAGCAAACGACAAAATCGTTTTGTTTTATTCTTTCACAGTTTCGCCAAATTTACAAAAGATAATCTAATTTTCTTTTTTCCCGCGTATAAATTTAAATTTATAAATATAGATTTATGACGTTTCGCTGACAGATAATTTCTAACGTTAAAGGGCTGATTTCAAGTCCGAAGAAAAAAAATCTATTCGTAAACAACTTATCGTTTGTAAAGGAACGGATCTTTTACTTTCTCGTAGGCGTTACATCTTTCTTATATAGTGTTTTTGCATGACATTCTCGGTGATCCGTGTAAAAAGAAAAATAGCGAATAGAATCGCTGAAACGTCTGCGAGTTAAATATTTTTTTTGGACGCAAAACTTTTACGGAGAAGAAACTGTAAAATTATCTCTCGACCTAGCAACAAGCAGAATTTTTTCCATCAACGACCGAAACGTCCAACAGTGAGAAATAAGGGAAAAAAGCTTGTTGTTTTCTAATTCCCAATAATTAGTATGTATAATTGTCATTTAACGATATTACGGACAATCGCTATAATAAACTATACGTGACTAATAAATAGCTAATGAAAAGTAGCTCACTTATATAACAAATTTAATTTGCCGCATTCGATTAAATAGCTTTACGATTGGTTTCTATGATCGCAAATAGCATGATCTTTTATTCGATTTAAGCATTTAAGCATTTAAGCATTTAAGCATTTAAGCATTTAAGTATTTAAGCGTTTAAGTTTGGAATTAAGTAAAATTAATCAAACATTTCATTCTCGTTCTCGTGTATTTTTACAGACGACGAAGGAATAGCAGAATCAGGAATGTGAAGTTCGGATACCTCGTCTCATGCAGGAACACGAGGATATTTTAGAGGTATTTTGAAGAGGTGCAGCGCACCGTACGAAGAATAGTATTACGTGTTATCTAAAGCGTGAAAATGGTAATGAAAGCGAGAGTGTAAAAGCGAAGAATAATCGTCGACCGGATGGTTTTCGTTCGGTTCGTTTCGATCGATAGTCGATAGTCGATAGTTATGAAAGTTAATTCGGTAATACGATAGCACGAAGCCATACGATGCTTGTAAACGTGCTGTAAAGGAGAAAACTGATTAATCAGCGCCGAACGTTAAAAGAAGGATGACGCGTGTTTCCTTCTTTGGCGACGACTCGCGACTTTGCTTGGTAAAAAAGAGCGTGGTCGAAGATGTTTCGCGCGAATGTCAAATCCGTTTATATCCCATAAACGGATAATCGCACGTTTACGTTGAACTTTCACGATGAGAACGTTGGTCGACCGAACGAAAGTATCAACGATTCGATGTCACTGATGTTTCGCGAACGTCCGTGGAAACATCAAAGCGACAGACGTGTCTCGATCGATCGATGCGAAGGAAAACGTTATTCCTATTTTTCGCGTGGTAGACGACGACGTAGTTTACCTTTGTCCTCGACGTCATACTCGACACGTTCGTTTCGCGAGCCATGTAAAAAGAGGAATTTCGTTTCTCGAGCAAGACGATGGAACACGTCGAAGGTAACTAGCCAAGGAATCGAATTACGATGACCGAGGTGGAAAATGGACAAGGACGCTGAAAGGGCCACTTTAACGAACGACGATGAAATTCTCTGAAACGTTTCAGACGCAGATGATTCGTAACGCGCGTAGAAAATTCGATCGAAGGCAGCTGTACGCGTATAGCTTTAAAAATGGATCGTTTTATCGAAACATACTAAATCGAAGGTAGACTAAAAGAGAATAGAAAACGCAACAACGATGGTGTTATTTTTCAAGGATTGTTTAAAGACGGTACGTTTCGGCAACAAGTATTCGCAACGAGAGAACGTACGACGAGGTAGCATCGTAATGAATTCCTACGGATCGCAACGTACGTTCGATCGTTCACCTGTCTCACCGTGTAAATATAAATCGATGTTTTATTTTCCACTTAATTAGACGATTTTGACGTATTCGATCTCGATATCTCGATGCCGAGAGAACGTTTCTGCCTCGATTTTCACGTCGACGCGATCGATGCTCGCGTTTAGGTACCTATCGTGATGTAGATAAGTCCAGGTTGCATATCTTAAGGATTGTAAGATGCGTATCCCGCAATGGGTTGCCACCGTTTCGATCGAGACGTTCGGTTTGCAACAAATCCACTTTCGTACAAAAAATGACAAATGCTGGAAAACCCTGATTCTGATTCTACGTTCTTTTCGTTCCGCTTATTATTATATTTTATTTTTCTTTTATTCCGCGTGTAATTACTAAGTAAAATTAGTAGACGCATCTTTCTCTATGTAATTATCGCTTTCATAGAAATACGTAGATCCGTCATTTACGAGTCGTAAGATCTAATCGAGAAATCAATTTTTCCAAAATATTTTTACGAATTTTCAATCTTATTTTCAAACGAACGTTTATTTGACATTTAAATATTCTCTTATTTTGTTTTTTTTTTTTCGTTTTCGTCTGTTTCCACTTGTATAAATTATTCTCCGTTGATCAATAAACTTTTACTATTATTTATCTACACGCGTTTTAAGACGATCCGTGAAACTATGATAAATACATGGCATCTATTATCAAATCTTTCGCTTGTTTCTCTAACAGTAAAATTCTAAAATTTCGTTGTAAATTTAAATATGACTTGTTGGGAACCCGACGAGAATTGGCTCTGCGAACAACAATTGCCGATTCAAATCGCGAGTGGCAACTATCCGTCCAAGGGCCGTAGTAGAGACGCAAATTAAATGTAAAACATTACCTAGAATGAAAAAAAAGGGAAGGTCAGAAACGTGAGAGAGAAGAACGATTTCCTTTTTTTTTCCATGATAGGAAAAAGACACGTCAGTGGGAACAAGAAACTCGCATCTTCGTAGAAATCATATCACTTTTCACAAGAATCATTCGACGATCCGTATAATATACATATTTACTTATTAACAGTCGATTCGAAACGACGATCGCGATATCGTTCTGAAGTTAATTATAGCGTAGATCGTTCGTTCTTTGACATCGTCGTCAACGTCTCGTGCCGTTTATTATTAATGTGAGACTAATTTGTTGAAAGAAAAGAAGGAAAAGAAGGAAAAGAAGGAAAAGAAGGAAAAGAAGGAAAAGAAAGAAAAGAAGGTAAACCAAACGACCATCGAACCGTGAACAAATCTCTTCCATGCGAGAGTTTCAAGAACAAAACTTTATACAATTTAGACGATTAATAGGGCTACGATTTAGAGAATATCAACAGCCAAATGTCCGAGGAAAAGAGTGAAATCTATGACTCGTTGTTAATTTCACTTACCATCGAACTGAATGGAAATGAGTACGCATTAGTCGTAGTAACAAGTACATTTACTTACTTATTTGTAAAAGGATCGCCAAGTATTATTAGTTTTATACGATCATTCGTCTGATCAAAGACTAACCTATTTATCCTGTTTCTTTATACATATACGTATATCTTTCATTACACGTCGATTCATATACACGTATTTCGTATGCTTTTTTAACGATTCTTATAATATTTTTCTTATAATATAATATATTCTTATAATATTAGCGATAGAAAATCCTTAGTTACCAGTAACGATCGAGTAAGTAGCAAACGTTGAACGACGACGCGTTCAAAGATAGAGTACTTAGAGTGGGATTTGCTCGATGCTACAAAGTCGTGTACTTAATTTTCTATTTACAGGCCAGGCAAAAGTAGGCGTGATCGATAAATTTTTAGATGTTTAAGAGCAACAGGCAAGTCGATTACCTGCTTTCCCCGTAATTATTTCCCCGTAATGATTTGCCCGTAATGATTTGCCCGTAATCACTTGCCCGTAATCACTTGCCCGTAATGGTTTCCCCGTAATGGTTTCCCCGTGATGGTTTCCCCGTAACGGAGAAAGAAAAGAATCGACAAAGGGATTGAAATTCACTGCCCATATGTATTTTTGGAGAAACATTTTTATATCGCTTAAGCACGTATGTAGAACGATTCGTAAAACACGCGATCGTACTTGTATCAGAGAGAAAAATGTCCGATCGAGTCGACGTTCTTTTATCGATCGGTTGGCGTGTCCTCGATGTTTCACATCTTTCGCGTGCACGCATTTTTCTATCTTTAAATTTCGCCTGAATGCCTGTAGCTCAAATGCTATCGAGATTCTTTATCGCGTAAACGGAATACAAATACAAATTGTAGAGAAGTACGTTAAAGTCGTATAATTTAATTCAGCTTGCACGATAACTTATCGACTGATAATATCGATAAACCGTTCTAAACAACAACGAGTTAACGATTACCATCCGATCCGCTTTATTAGCAAGTATTGGCAAATTTAACGACTTAAGTGTTACAGATTATAGATTCGTTTTCTACGATTACGTCATACGTAACGTAGAATAAAAATGTAATAGCGTAAAATTTCATTTCTCTTTTTACCAAATTTTTAACTCCAATGAAAAATTACTGAATTGTAAGTCGTGTACTATACAACGATGTCGGTTGACCGTTAATTAAGAAAATTGCCAATTGATTGCCAAATGCGTCAGAGTATTACAAAGTGATAAGACTAACTTGTACATATATAGTCGAATCTTATTCCGAGCTCGTCTCCTTTGTAACAAACGTTTCATCGCTTCGAATATCCTAAGATGTCGTGAATCTAATTATACTCGCTTATATTTAGCAAACGAAAAAACAGATTCACACGCATAGGCTAACAGATCGATAAAGAAGAGATCGATCGGACAACTGCAGTTTCCAACTCGTCGAACTTGCTTCTTTGCTATACGTATCGTATATGTATAACACTGTGCTGTACATTTGCGCGCATATATTATCAACCGTATCATCGATGTTTCTCGCGTAGGTGAATAATCGTCGAGTATCGGTATTAGATCGGTTTTTCAGTTTCAACGTTTTGATCAACGGATCTTATTTAATACGATCGCGGGAATAGGAAATAATTCTACGATTTATATGTCTCTTCCTTTCTTAAGTCTAGAAACTAACGCAATTTTGTTGATCGTAAGATGCAGGTTTTATAACGCGTTTCGATTGGTTTCCTCGTTGAAAAAGTACGTGGTTACTTTTAACAGATGCTCGTAATGTCATCGATTTACCACGATCGTAGATAATTTTCGGTAAAATTTATCGATCAATGTTTAAATTTCGCTCTCTGTCTGTTTCTCTCTCTCTCTCTCTCTCTCTCTCTCTAGGCTTGTTTCTTATGGGAACATCATAATTTTCACATTTCAATAAAATTTTAATGCGATAACATTATCGATATACAGAGTAGTCTTCGTGTAAATATGGTAAGATAAAAATCGAAGCAAAGGATATTATTTTGTTTCTTCTTCGGATATCGGAGAACCTGTAACGTAATAATTATTTCTATGTATTAAACTAAGTAAAAAATACGTGACGTATATTACGAAATTAAAAGTATAACGTAACGAATTGCGAATAAATCAATTTTGCTAATAATATTTTACTGCTTTTACGTTGGGATAAATTTACAAATCTTCGTCGTTGTCGAATCCTATATCGTTGATACGACTTCGGTTAGGTCGCATTTAACCTGATAACGAAGGAAAGCAGATCGTAATCTTTGCACATATTCGCGTAAAATTTTCCATTACGCGTGCTAAAAATTAATTAGGCGATTATTTGAAAAATAAATTTGATTAACTTGTACAGTAATTGTTATACGCGATCTTTTATTAAAGATTATATTGGCTCTATGTATGTATGTATGTATGTATGTACATATATATTTGCACTCCGATTCAAAGGAGATGTCGTATCGCTTGTGGAAAAGATCACACGCTTCGTTACTGTTAACAATTTCAAGCTAAATGTCGGTGTATCGCTTTCATTGAATCAGCTTCGGAAAAGTCGTGAATCGGTTTCATCCGTTCAGGTTGTCGGTATATTTGCAACGTAATGCACGAGCAATTGAAAAATTCGGTCATTGTCCGTGCAAGTGTGTAGATACCACCGTCGCGATGTAATATAAGAACGATCTATGTATATGTGGTAAGCTCTCGATTACTCTGTACTAAAGCGTTTAACGCTTCGTTATTATATTGCGTTATATCGTATTATTTTTGTACGAGAG